GACCTTTTCCTTAAGTGGAAGTCCCCTTATATGTCTGAACTATTCCTTGAGATGCAGGTATACCTTGGGAAGGTTATCATAAAGCCCTTCATCGATTCAGCATATCAGTTGGGATGGTCTCTGAAGGAAGGAATTTAGTGGGAGAAAGCAGGAACATGACAGACAAATTTCCTCCAGACTGTTCTCAGAAATCCATAAACCTGCCCGTCCCCTCAGTCTCCCTTCATCTCCATGCAACCGATCAAACAGGAATTGAACTCTGCTAGATCTTAGGATACACTAGGGACTAAGATTTGGTTTCAGCTCCTGGTATTTGTTATCATTTTGATGCTATTGCTGAAGGATGAACATAATTATGTCATGGTCTCTTTGAAAGGCCAATTGTAAGCAGAGCTATATTAAGGAAAAAGCTAAATGAAATTATATCAGAGGTTTTCAGGGAGGGATAAACTTGTAGTTGAAGAACAACTTTTGTTGCTAAGAATAACAATGAAGTAACCACCACTAAAGGCCTTGAATCACCTAAGGACAAGCTCATTGCCACAGCCTTTTGAGATCTATTAAGGTAATAACATAATAGTCCTATTTCTTTATTAGGATGATTAGGATAGCAAATAGTCCTATGCATTTGCCAGAAGTTCTGAAAGATATTTCCTACTGGTTTTCTTAGATCTGGTTTCACATTTCCCAAAGTAATAAAGCCTATTTTTATTAACCAAATTTTATTAATTCTCTTCTAGTTGAGACTACTCTGATAAGTTTATTAAAACTACTTGCTCTGAGTTCTTGAAAATCTATCCAAAATTATATTCCTTTGACTTGTATTTCCGCATTGCTCTGCATATTTATTTTGATAAAATAGTTATAGCACTTCCAGCGTTGTCTCAGTGTTTTAAAAAATAATTGTGATTACCTTTTAGCAATTTCTTAGATAATGAGTTGCTCCATTTCCTGAATACACACCTTTTTTTTTTTTAAAAGATGAAAACGATGCATCTCAGATGTTTCATATAAGCAAACAGGTCAAGTTAGAGTAGCACTGAATGAAAATATCTAATACCAAGGAATGTGAGATATGTTAGCTACTAACCCAGCAGACACCCAGTTAGCATTCACAGGCCACTGACCCACCACTTCAGTTCTTTGAGATCTGTGGAATTTACTGAGGTTTCCACTGGGGTCCAAATCTGGCACAAAGGTCAGTGGCGCCCAAGTCTCCTCACCCCTCATGTCACTAATTGCTGCCAAATTTTATTGCTTAATCTTATTTCAAACTTGTGCCTTCTTGATGGTGATTTCTTAGGCTCTTACTTTTCTCTTTTACTATTTAGTGTTCATTTTTGATCTTGATGATCAAGTTTGTTAAGTCATCAGGAATTAGGAAATTCTTCCAAGTATGAGTTTGTTCTACTCAGCTGTTGTCTCATAAACCTGCTCAGTAGAATCATATTTCGTACCGCTAGCTGCCTTTTTGGTTTCTCCTTCACATGTCTGAATTCCATTTCCCATAATGTTTCATCTATAGTTCTTTAAATGGGTATCTGCATCCCAATGCAGCACAATTTTTCAAGCTAAAGTAATATTTCATACATTTTTTTTTAATTTACAAAATACATTTTGTGGAAATTTATGACTTGAAGAGTTGAAAATTGGCACCGTGAAAATCGGTGAAACCAGAAGACAACTTTGATTTTAACTTCCTTCCTCTTTCTGTTCCTTTCGCTTTCTTCCTTCTCCCTCCCCTTTCCCCTTTCCCCTTTCCCCTTTCTCTTTTTCTCCTACCTCCTTTTCTTTCTCTTCCATGTCCTCTCTGATTTTATTTACAAACTGAACTGCAAAACCTAAGAATCTAACTGGCACTGAAGTCAAGTTATTCACGCAGTACTTGTCTTGCTATTGTCTTGCTAATGGGTTTTCTAGGCTAGAAGACAGCAGGAACACTGAGGTACCTGCCTGTCCTGAGGTACTTTCCTAGTCCTTCCTCTGCTCAATGCCAGGGCTTCTAAATCTGCAGAAAATGAGGTTCTTTTTGTATGTGCTTGGCTGATATTTCACCATTGTTCTACTCTATCTTGACTATTGTTTTTCTTGGTCACTGAATGATAACATTGTCTAGCTTTGTTTTCCTTAATTTTTTTTTTCTAAGAAATTGATCCAAGCATTCTTTCACTTACACCGACTGTTCAATGTGGACCGAGGAAAGATAAGAAAAAAGAGGAGGAGAAAACAAAGAGGAAAATGGAACAGGCAAACTGCTCTTGACATTGTATCCTTACTATTGACTCCATTTTTATTACTTAGGACTCAAACTTAATGTTCTCATATTAAAAACACATTCCTCTTTATTTCTTTATGAGATCAATTGCATCAGATGTTGCTTGCTACTGTTGTTCAAAAAGATGCTGGTAACCCTAGTGTCCAGGGTTACTGACATGACTTCGCTGGTCCTTACACATCGAGGTAAGCCTTTAGTTTCTTAGAAATGTACATTTGCCACAGCTGAGTAAGGTCCTACTTAAACACACTATATCCACTGACAAAGCGACAAAGCTCTGATGGGACAAGCAGGCAAATAAACTAAAAGTGAAAACTAAATTTCAAAATTCAAAAATGCAATTATACAGCAAACAACAGCATAAATATGTAATGGGGCAAATGTGGTTAACCACAGCTCAGGTAAAGACAACTTAGAACCTTAGCTCACAATATTAATGATTAGCCAAATTAAATGTCTGCTATCATCTCAACAATATGTTCTTGTTCAATGTGAGATTTCTTTAATGCTGTCTATGGAGAAAGCAGGAGTCCCCGTTTACTCTGCTTTGATCAGACTGCACCTAGGATACAGTTCCACTCCAGACAGATACAGGTATGTTGAGCAGTGCATTGGAGGGTGCTCAGGTTAGTAAGGAGAATGGTAGAAGGAAGTGGCAATGGTATGCCTGGAAAACAGAAGACTAAGAACTAGGAAATGTATTTTCAAATATCCTAAGGACTATTGCATGGAAGAGTTGCATGACGTTTTTCTAAACATCACTTTGAACATGATGCTGTCATCAACCTGGCCATATATCCGCATGTGAATCAATGAGTAGAAGCTATAGGAAGCTCAACAATATCAAAATATTCTAAAGAGGTTGTCCAAAATGGACCAGGCAGTTTGAGAACTAGGATATTCTACCATCTGAGCCACAGAGGAACATCCACGCGGATGAAACACTGGCACTGAGTGATGGCTGACACAAGGAACTAGTGAGGAATCCTTTTTGACATTAAATTTTACAACACCATGATCAAAAGCACTTGACTTCACTAGTCCATAGATACGCATATAGTAAGGCTCAGTGTTTAAAGAATGTTGGATAAAATGAGAATTATCATTTGTGAATTTCAAATTCCTAAGCTTGAGATAAATATATATGTAAAATAAAAATGATTACTATGTCTAGCCAAATTGCTAGACTCATTGCACTCAAATTTCAAAATTCAAAACTTTCCTTCTTTTGAAATTATTTGGTTATCAAAATAAAGTTCTTATATAGTCCATTCAAACTTGGCTTCTCATCAGAGATGGGGTGAACTTAGGATGCTGCATAAAAAGAGTAGTAAAATTTTTGGGTCAATGAAGGTCATATTTCATTTGGAAAACATACTTCTGACATCATGATTTACACATGTGTATATCCTTGTAAGGACAACCTCTTTCATTTTGCTAAGAAATTCTGATATGTTGTCTTGAAATAACAGTAAGACATTAGATCTGAAGACAATGCAGAGATCTGAAGAAAATGCAAATCTCAACCATTTGAGGAAAAAAAGGCAAATGCATAGCTAATATTTTAGAAAGACAGAAAGTGAGTTAAATGCTTTACCATTTATCACATTTACAAATAATAGACAGGTTCTCCCCAGTTTCAAAATGACCACCAGGGCATTAGTGGTTATGGATGTGTAGTTCCCGGCCACAAAGCACCTGCTACAGGCAGTCATTGGATACCAACAAGGTAAAGTAGGTAAACCAGGTAGGCTTTTTCATTAGTTATGATCCTAAAGAGATTTGTGCAAATTGAAGGGGGGAAACAAATAATGAAATTTGGGAAGATCACTTAACGGCCATAAAACAAAAACAAAAACAAAAAACAGTGCCTGTAAGACTGACCCGAGAGAATAACGCTTCATAAGAGATGCCAAATGAAGGGAGCAATAAGGGAGAAGGCAATGCTGCAGTGATAACCAATGCAAAGAAGAAACTTTAATACAAGTTCCACCCTAGTGAACCTCTTACTCCAGAAAGGCATCCAGATCTGCCATTGTCTTGATATTCATTCACCATGAAAATGCTGGCCTCCCAGTGGACCTTTCAAACATGTCCCTCATACATCTCTATATTTCATAATCTGGCCAAAGTATTGATGTTTGAATAAGGCAAAAGACAATTTCTCTAAGTAGATAAAATGCAGCTACAATCATGTTTTGGTTTCTTTTGTCAAATCATTATTGAAACATTAGGTTTTGAACAGTTTTTCCAGTTTTAGTTGGACAGTTCTTTTTTAGTTGGATATCAAAAGCTACTTTTACTAGGAAACCTAAGGTCAATCTTACAATGAGCAGTTAATCCTTTACATGAAAAGATGATTGCTCTTATTGACTCAAGGCAATAATTTCTCTAGAACATTAATTCATTATCTTCCCTAGAGTTCATATGTAAACCATAACAATGTCAGTTTTCTGCCAGATAGATACAAGTACAAAGACAATAACTCAGGTAATTGTTTTGCTTTTGCATTTAAAGTTGGAATATGGAGTCAAGGAGAGATGATTCAAAGGGATTTATAGAAGACAATCAGTATTATAAATATACTCTCTCTAAACACTATAAAATGAATAGCTTGAAGATTAATATGAAAAGTTAGTAATTTCAGAAGTGTTATACTTCAGGGATCAGAAGTTGAGGATAAAGTTGGTAGTTAAGTTTCACTAAAATAAAAATGTAGCAGTACCTTCTTCAATATCTGAGATATATTCACCATCACTGAGCATTTCAGGGGCGTTGGCTTTACGAACTGCATGATTTAAGCGAACATTGTAAGTGTGTAAAATCCATACTCTTGACATAATAATAACAAAACATCCCAATAGTTTCAAAAATATTTTTCTAGTGAATTTTTCTCCAGGAAACAAACAAAAAAATACAATTACTAATAATGAATATGCATGTAAAGGACATTCCATACCTTCATCATCAGACATATCAAGAACTTCATTCATTGTTTCTGGAACATTCATTTTATGCTTCTCAATGATGGTCTAGTTAAGAAAAAAGTCATTTTAATGCAAGCAAACTACAGCTTCTAAAAAGACTATTTTTTTCCACAAATTAATCAATAAGTTTTTTTTAATCAGACTTAAGTGTGCAATATTTTGAATCTCACACATAAGAAATACCATATAAATTGTTACTCCTTAGCAGCACAGAGGTCCTGATCATATATATACCCAACAGGGGATTAAACACTGTGAGAAACTTTTAGCAGCAAAACATAACAACTTAAAAGGCTCAGGTCCTGGGATAGTTATTCTGGCACAGTAAGAGAAGTTGTAACATGGAGCGTTTGCGTCCCAAATGAGGGTGCCAGTTTAAGTTCCGGATACCCTTCTTCCACTCCAGTTCATTGCTCATTCGCATGTGAAGGCAGTGGAAGACTGACCAACTGCTTGTACCCCAATGACCCACATGGGAGACCTGGATGAAGTTCTTGGTTTCTGGCTTCCATGTGGCCATTGTAGACACCTGGAAAGTGGACCAGTGTTTGAAATATCTTTATCTCTGGTCTTTTCTGTATCTTTTACTCTGCCTTTCAAATAAATAACTCTTAAAAGAAGCACCTAGTGAGACTTTTAGGGGGAAAAAGGGGTAAAAATATATCTACTCTCCTACTCCACTGCTATATTTTTCATGATCTGATGAATCTGCCACCATGTTGTAGTGGCTAAATCTCCGACTTGTATGCACTGGGGTCCCACATGGGTGCCAATTCATATCCTGGCTACTCCACTTCCCACTCAGCTCCCTGCTTGTAGCCTGGAAAAGCAGTGGAGGACAGCCCAAAGCCTTGGGACCCTGCACCTGAATGGGAGACCTGAAAGAGGCTGCTGGCTTCAAATCAACTTAGCTCCAACTATTGTTGCATTTGGGGAGTGAGCCATTGGACGAAAGATCGTTGTATCTCCTCTGTGTGCATCTGCCTTTCCAATAAAAATAAATAAATCTTAAAGAAGTTTTGCCTGAAGATAGGCCAAATAAAACAACGAGAACGTTTCTATTCTGTCAAGCTTTCTACTTATCCTGTGTTCTCCCCTTAATTGAGATTTTCATTCCTAGGATAAATCACAACTGCATAAATGGAATACTTGTTTTTGAACTACACATATAAAAATATTTTAGACATCTTGCATTTGCAGGATTTTAGAATTTTCTTGAGATTTTCACACCTACCCAAATTATGGCTATCTATCAGCTACAACAGCATCATTTAAGAGAAAGTCCTCATGACTTTAGTTTTAATTTTTGATTTTTAGCAGATGAAAAAACAACTGCAGGAGACAAAACACACATTTAAATAAGACAACTGAAAAAAAAACAGGTTGTTAAAATTAAGAAAGGGTACACACTCATTGTTTCTTGAGGGCTCATTCTTGTAAATGTGATTTATACCTCCTGGCCCCAATTATTAAGCTCAAATAAAACATTATTGGTGCCTCTCCCAGAATGTACTACAACTGAGCATGGTTTAAAAATAAACTTAATTTAGAATACTTTTAGGGTTATGGAAAAATTGTGAATTCAGGATAAATAATTCCTATCTTCTTCATACCAAGTTCTATCATTATTATAATATTAAATTAGCATGGTATCTATGTCATGATTAATGAATTGGTACTGAAACATGATTAGTAAGATTCACATACTTTTTTTTCCCGCTCTTTGCCTAGTAGCCTTTTTCTGTCCCAGGTTCCTACCCAGGACACCATGTGACAATCAGTAATGATCCTTTTTCAAATTTACCTGGCCTGCAACAAGGTCTCATGCTTTTCTTTTCTTTTTTTATGATTTTGGTAGTTTTTGAAGCTATTAGTGAGGTGTTTTGTGTAATAGCTCTCAATTTTTTAAAAATACCCTTCCCCCTTTCCATGCCAAGACTGAAATTATGTCTTTGGGAGGAATATGGAGGAGGTTAAAAAACTTTTTTTTTTAAAGATTTGATTTATTGGAAAGATCTCCAGAGAGAAGCAGAGTCAGAGAGAAACATCTGTCCACTGGTTCACTCCCCAAGTGGCTGCAACACCCGGAGCTGAGCTCATTTGAAGCCAGGAGCCAGCAGCTTCTTCTGGGTCTCCTATGTAGGTCTCAAAGCTTTGCGCCATCCTCGACCGCTTTCCCAGACCCTAAGCAGAAAGCTGGATGGGAAGTGGAGCACCCAGGACACAAACTGGCAATCATATGGCATTGTGGAATATGCAAGGCAAGGACACTAGCCACTAGGCTATCATCCTGGGCCTAGTAAGGACCATTTTCACACACCAAGGATACACACTCTCCATATAACTTACCATGGTATGGCTGCTGTTCTGGACAAGGCAGCACTCATCAGGCTAGTCTACTGTTAGACATCTTATTTTTCTCTGCTTTCACAGTGGTTTCTTTACAGAGAAATCACTAATGCTGAACTTACACTTGTTTCTTAAGGAAGAAAATTTACCATAAATTATTTTGGACAGTTTCCCCAGACATATTTGTCTCTTCTTTACCACTTATTTAATAACTTATTAATTTTTCTTTCAAAGGCAGAGTTCAAGAAAGAGCGAGGGACAGAGAGAGAGAGAGAGAAAGGAAAGAGGTAGCTTACCCACTGGTCCACTCCACAAATGGCTACAAAGACCAGAGTTGGATTAGGCCAGCAACCCAATTCAGGTCTCCTGTGTGGATTACAGGGCCAAGTACTTAGGACACCTGCTGCTGCTGTCCCAGGCAGATTAGCAGGGAGCCGATCAGCAGTTAGAGGTACCAGGACTCCAATCAGCTCTCTTAAAGGATGCTGGCATTGCAGCTTAATTTGCTGTACCACAGTGGGGCCCTCAATCATTTATTTTTGTTGGTATGGATTCATGGATTTTAAGGATTTGTGGATTCATGGGTTTATGTTATACTTTTTGATCCTCTATACTTGCTTAGTTTTTCTCAGCTCACTCCTATTTTTGTTACTGGGAACTCCTTCAGTTGATATCAACCTCCCTTTGACATACTTCCATTACTGTGTGCATAAACTGGATTATTCACTTAATTTTGGTGGTGGGGGAGAACTTCCTCACTTTTTGGCTGTATATGATGGTCCAGATTCAACTTAGACAGTTCTCACTCTTACCCTACATTCAGCAATCTCTTCAAGGAGCTCTAGATCTTTTTATTAAGTTATTTAACATTTATTTTACTTAGTTGAAAGGTAGAATTACAGAGATATAGGGAGAGATATCAAGGAAGAAAAAGGTCTTTCAACTGCCAATTCACTCCTCAAATGGCCATAGCAGCTGAGGACTAGGTCAGACCAAGACCAGAAATCATTCTTCCTGGTCTCCTGTGTGGGTGTGCAGACTCAGGTATTTGCACCATTCTTTGCTGCTTTTCCTGGCACGTTCATGGAGAGCTGATTGAAAGAGAAAGAGGCAGGACTTGAACCAGGCACTGCAACATGGAGGCAGCCACCCTAAGTGGACGCTTAACTTGCTGGCCCAACTCTAAGTATTGTAGGCATCTAGAAGGGAATTGGTGGATGAAAAGATATCTTATTCTTTCTCTCACTCCATCATCCTGCCTTGTAAATAAATGGAATGAATATATAAATAAGTACATCTTTTAACACTTGAGAATTTATCTCTTTTATGGAGTAGCTTCTATCCATTCAGTTTCTTATGCTGCAATGGTCATAAACACATTATCTACAGTGTCCTCAGAATGACGTCATAGATCAGGGCACACCCAGGAGAGTCACTCATCTTTTTCAGGCTTTGAAAACGTTGAGTCTGCTCACAGAGACAATGGCTGCTGCACCCAAGACCTGGCTGCACCAAAATCAAGTCTGTGGTGATGGCTGAGCTGTTTCAGAGCTTAAGATCCCAGACTCTAGCCTGCACTGCATCAACTTTATATACCAATTTATAAGGAACTGTTGGAGAAAGGTTGCGAGGTGGTAGCTCAGCTGAAAACAAACTCATAAATTTCACAATGCCTGAGTGAGCCTTGGGACTTTCACAGACTCTGGAAGTGTCATCGCCTTCATTAATGAAGCAAACGGGTGTTCTCCGGTTAGGAAGCATGGTGCCTTCTCTTACAGGAAAGACACCAACCAGTGTGCTGATGAGGCTGGGAGTGAAAACAGCACTTCTAGTATCCATGATGTCTTCTGAGACAAACATGAGCTTTGAGACTTTTGTTTTCCAGTAGATTTTCTGAAGCTGTAACTTTACTCTTCAAGGTTTTCAAATTCAAACAGTTTGAAAGTTGTTAATGGGTAAGGAAGTCACTTACATTCCAGAAAATGAGGTTTGCACTTGACTATTAAAGCAAGTTTCAATTAGCTAACATGAAACAGAAGTCTCCCACGAAATCACTCCCAATCAGGCAGTGATTTCAAATATTTTATAGCTCCGTGACACCTGTCCTGTTTCCCATCCTACAGTCAGCTGTACGGGATACCTACAAAATCAAGGCTATTAGACATTCTTTGTTTAAACTTTCATTGATACTGAAATACTCAACATGTGTGTGAAAGTGACATTTGGAAGTTTATCCCACGTTCTTGACAAAACAATGACAACAAAGTATTTTGCAGAAACAAGCTATGCCTTCCTGGGTTGCAGGATGGCAGAAAAGAAAAGGAGAGGGAACTCCTAAGTCCACATGTTTTCAAGTCCTAAACTTACATTGTACAGTGTCAATCTCAAGCTTGTGTGTTGAATCATGGAGTCAGAAATAACTCAAATAAACCTTGGACGTGGTGTAATATCTGCTCATGAATCTAGTAACAAAAGTTCAACTGTGCCACATGGGGTTATCAAGCAAGAATTTATCCTACAGCCTGCAGCTTGTAAGCTCTTTCTGATGTAATTAGATCTCATTTGGAAATATTTGCCTGACATTTTTAAACAAAATATCCTACTATTTTTCTTTTTTTTTTGGTCCTACTATTTTCAACATGAACATTACAATAGGAAAACAGAAGAGAAGGGAGAATGGTGCAAGACCAATATTGATCTTTTCAGTATCTTGTTATCATGATAATGATATATCTGTGAGTCATTTTGTGCAATAAAATATTTAAGAAACCAACTTAAGAGCTTTCAACTTTCTTACACTGCTAAGGAAGGATGTTAAGACATATTTCCCTTCAGTGAATCAGCAGATGAAAGCCCTCTCTCTTTCTCTCCTCTCTCTTCATTAATTCTCTCTCTTCATTACTTGCCTTTCAAGTAAAAATGAATAAATACTTTATAAAAGTATATCTCCCTCCACCAATCTTTTATAAAGGATTTTCCTAAGTCAATTTAGTTTACTATGGAATAAGCCATTCTATTGCTTCAAGTGAGACTTCATTAGGGTATTTTTTAATATTTTAAATTTGGGGAGGGGCCAGTACTGTGGCATAGCAGATAAAGCTGCTACGTGTTATGCTGGCATCCCAGATAGGCGCCAGACGCTCCACTCCTGATCCAGCCCTCTGCTAATGATTGGGAAAGCAGCACAAGATGACCCAGGTGCTTGTGCCCCTGCCACATGCATGAGACCTGAAGGTAGCTCCTGGCTCCTGTTACTGGCCTGGCCTAGCCCTGCAGATGCAGCCATCTAGGAAATGAACTAGCTGATGGAAGATTTTTCTCTCTCTATTTGTAACCCAGAGTTTCAAATAAATGAATCTTTAGAATTAAAAAAAAATTTCAATTTCTATTCATACAGAAGAGTTGAGTGCCAATGAAGAGGTGGCAGATTTTTGTAATACGGCTCTTGGCCTGTGAATAGTGGAAAGAAGGATCATCCCAGATGTGTTTGAGAAGAGTACAGCCTGAGGAATGATCTCCAGGCCAGCCAGGTGCTCCATCCATTACTTACAGTCGTGGTTATGGTTTCCTCCGTTACTATCTTCAGAGTGTCAACCACTGAGATGTAGCCAAGGCGTCTGGCTATGGCAAGGGCAGTATTCCCATTCTGGAAACAGGAAAATGTGGACAAGAAATTAACCAGACTTAATCCCCATGCTTTGTCTACACATAGGCAAGAACTCATCACATCCATCCCACTGTCATGCACAAAAACCTGTTCATTAGACACTGCCTGGCACAAAACCCACCTGACCTGTTTCTACTCCTACAGAAGAGTCTGGGCAACTACCTGTGAAATCCAAGTGGCTTTTTAATGTTCTACGGATGCAATCAATGAAACACATTCCTACAGGTGCATTTCCTACTAGGTGGCGATGCAATCAGCATGTTAAAAATGTGTGCCAGTGATCACATTTCTCTCTGAACAGCTCACAACACTAGGGTTACTGTCGTCTCCCCTCATTCTACTGAATGTTCTCTATGCTCATTAAGCTAGAAAAGCAACGTTGGAGGCCAGTGAAAAATGTTAAGACGATGCAAGATTCCCATCTGCCTCTTCCCTCCAGCTCGCCTTGTTTTCTTACCACGGTGAGTTCGTTGGGGGAGGCGTTGTTCTGGAGCAAGACATTTATGATATGTGTATGTCCCTGCTGTGCTGCTTGATGCAGTGGCGTATACCCGTTCTGCAGAGAAAGAGGGAAGAAATGACTCTTACTTCCTCTGACACAGAAATCAATGACTTGGCAGCAGCAAAGCAAGGAGCTCACCTTTGTTTTGGCATTAACTTTTGCAGAATGCTGGAGCAGGAAATTAACGATCTTGATGTTCCCATAGTGGCAGCCCACATGCAGTGGTGTGTATCCCATCTGTAATTATGTTAAAAAAAAATAGGTATATCATTAGGATGTTTGGTATCAGTTATTCTAAACAGAGATGAAATGACTTCATCTTTCTTCATGAATGTGAAAAAAAGTTTTTCCCTTCTCCATCCTCAAAAGATTGGCCTCGATAATCCTCAGAGCTAGTCATATGTAGAAATAGTAATAGCAGCACATACAGATCTAGGTACTTAACTTTCAAGATACTGCCTGTTGAGTTACTAGATTTTATGTGGAAAGCAAATTTTCAGAATAGAAAGGGAAAAACGCAGCAAATGACAGCCTAGACAGACTCATCTGGTCACTGCTTATTGGGGGTCAAAACTGCTTACTGGACAGACTGACTGTTGATGCTTGAAAACGCTACTGAAAGTTTACAATCAAGGGAGAAAATATGAAGAAATTATAATGCAAGGCAGTAGATGACTATCAGAATGCGTGACAGAAATGAGAAGCAGACAGGAACACAAGATAGCATCAAGCCAGTGTGGTTCCAGTGGTCTAAGAAGCATCATCTTGATTCAAGTCACATGCTCCACTGAAGGTCCTCGCCAGGTGCTGCGGCCAAAGTGCAGCCTACCCATCCCATCTCAGAGAGCCTGGCTTCCAGTCCAGACTTGCAATTTCAGCATCCTACTAATGTGTACCCTAGGAGGCAGCAGGTGATGCCCCAAGTGGCTATGTCCCTGCCACTCATAACAGATCCCCAGATGGAACTCTATGCACCTGGATTCAGCCTTAGCTGTTGTGGGCATTAGGGAAGTGAACCAATGAATGGAAGATATTTCTGTGTTTCTGTGTTTGTGCCTTCAAAATCAATAAGGAAAGAAGAAAGGATTTTTAAGTTATTTGACTTACTAGAGTCTCACAGGTTAAAAACCAATGATTTAGATACAATAATTGCTCAAAATCTTATCTATTCACCCCTCAGGAGCTACAAGCATATGTGTTGTAAACTCTGCTTTTTCCTCTCTTTCTATCTCAAGAGTAAGAGACCCCCATGGGTGGGTGAGTCCAAATCTGATCTCTCTGAATAGAAATTGAGTCTTGGGTGTTATATATGTGAATATGTGTGCTTATACATAAAACTCTAGGTAAGTATTTTTTTAAGGTAAAGGTCTTTTGGGACTTTTTCTAGATTTCCACACCCAAGGTCACAGACACCACCAGATACCATCAGGCACTCCGGGAGCCCCTGGAAAACTACTGTTTATGATAGTATGGGTGGCACCATCACACCAAGAGAGAGCATTGATTTTTTTTATGGCAATATTTTTATGTTACCTGGGGACCCGTGCTTTCAGGGGTGTGTAAGTCTTGTTTGATGGAATCTACAAGTCTCAGATTTCCAGCAAATGAAGCCAGGGGATTTGAAAAGGAAGTGCCCAGACTATAGCCAAAAGTGGAAGGCAAACATAGCTCCTCAGGAATGTGTTGCTTTGGAGAGCTGGTGCCAGTCAAAATTTACTCCATGAACCCAGCCATCCATGTGCCCAGGCCAACACAGTTAGGATAACCACACAGACACAGGCACTGACTAACCACTTCTAAAAGCCCATTCATGCACAATGGAGCAAATTCCTTTTTGGTGACCAGACTCCACCTGCGTGCTCTGCAGGGTTCTTCTTTCCCAGCATGAGGAGCTCACATACCACACTGTGATCAGAAATCTGCTTACTATGGGGGCTTCATCACAGTTTGTACAATTAGTTCTTGGCAGGCCCAGCGGCATGGCCTAGTGGCTAAAGTCCTCGCCTTGAATGTGCCAGGATCCCATATGGGCGCCGATTCTAATCCCGGCAGCTCCACTTCGCATCCAGCTCTCTGCCTGTGGCCTGGGAAAGCAGTTGAGGATGGCCCAAAGCCTTGGGACCCTGCACCGTGTGGGAGTCCTGGAGGAAGTTCCTGGATCCTGGCTTCGGATCAGCACAGCTATGGTATTCCAAATCTGAATATTTACCCCAGTCCTTCCAATATCCCAGAGCAACACATTGGTCATTATTGGGTTTTTCTACCAGGTTGGCCCCTGGATCATCTACAGTTGAGCAAACCTACTACTCAGCTCACGGCCTGCGTTTCCCACCAGTGGCTTCTCCTGCATTCCTCATCTCGCCAATGAGTGTTTGGGACTAACCAACCAGTTACACTCATCAGATCCCTAGAACCATCCAGAGTACTCACATTTCTCCAGCCCCAACTTGCCACCCTGTGACATGGTCTTCAAACCTTCTTCAATTTTTATTCTGTTAACCAACTTCTCATGTGCCACTTAATTGAGGCTTGCAAACAGACCTTGGCAGCAGCCTCAGTTTCCCTTGTGCCAGGCTCTGTTATCTTTGCACTCCTTTTTTATTTGTACTGCTTTCCAGGATGTTTGTATACCACATTGCTGATTTCACCACTCTTCTGTTTATATCAAAATCAGGTTTTGAACAGAACTATGGGATCTTATGCAAGCAATTCATTTTCCTCTGTCTGTTTCCTCAACTGTAATATAGGGATACTAAACGAACCAAATTCACAAGTAGTGAATGGGCAATAAATTTAGGTGCCGTTATGTTTTTAAATTAATGTTATTATATGTTCCACTGTTGAGACACTGAGATTTATAAGGGCAAGGGACTATCAGGTAAGAATTGGGTCATTGATCCACATGCTAATCCTCCACCTGTGAGCATGAGCATCCCTTATGGGTGCTGGCTCATGTCCAGGGCACAACACTTCCAATCCATCTCCCTGTATATAGCCTGGGAAAGCAGCAGATGAGGACTCAGGGCCTTGGGACCCTGTACCCACTTAGGAGACCCAGAAGAAGCTACTGGCTCCTGGATCCAGATCAACTCAGCTCTAGCTTTTGTAGCCACTTGGGGAGTGAATCATAGAGTGGAAGATCTGTCTCTCTTTCTCTCAGGAAATCTGCCTTTGTAATAAAAATTAATAAAATCTATATATCAAGATTTTATTAATATATTAAGAAATATATGTTAATAGATACATATAATACATAATATATTATGTGTAATATATATATATTATGTGTAATATATATATATTAATTGAGAGAGAGATGGCTACTAGCAGGAGTTCCAGAAAAGCATATGAAATGAGTAAGGATTAAGTCAGTTGTCAAAACTCTTCCTGGCTTTATATTTCCTTAAAGAGATCTAACATAACCATGAATTCTCTGATAAATGCCCTCTGAGAATCGATGCCTTTGGAGCTAGTCTAGATCAAACGCTTTAGGACACTGTTCATTCAAAAAGCAGGAGCAGGGGTTTCATCTCAGTCCTATAGTCCTGTCTATTATACTCGGTGACTAGCAGTACAATTCAGAATTATCTGTGTTGGGTAATCTCAAGGGCAAAAGAGGAGGAACTCTAACAGATCAGCATCAGCATATCTGTGGGAAAGCAGCAATGTGGAGACCAAATTTTCTTCCCAAGAGGAAAGAGCCCTTGGTATTCTCATCACTACTATGTTGTAATTTCAGTCAATGTACCAGATGGTCTATAACCCATCTGAAGACCACTTGGCGACATTTTCTCCTTTTGCTTATCTGTTTAAGAGGCAAAGAGACAGAGAGCAAGAGACAGAGCTTGCATCTGGGTTCCCTTTCCAAATGGCTACAGTGGTGGGGGCCAGGCCAATCTGAAGTCAGGAAGACAGTAACTCAACCTTGGGTTATCACATGGTTGGCAGTAGCTCAACTAAGTCTGTCATCTGCTACCTCCCCCAGTCATCATTAGCTGGGGGCCTGAATCAGGGTCAGGAACTTGGAACAGAAGCCAGGGACTTCAATGTGGATGGAAGTTTCTGAGTCTTAACTGCTGGGTTAAATGCCTGTCCGGGGATGTCTTGATGTCTTGTCTGTCCATGAGATTTGAAAGTTCATGAAAATGTAATGAATTCTTTATTCATAAATTTAGGCAGCAGGTGTACGTAGCCTTCCTCTGTACTACAGCTCTATCCGCTGCAGTCAATTTGCAGCCTGTCTGGTGACTGTGATGTCTGCTGGGAAGAAAAAAGGAAGAGAATTTGTAAGAGGCAGAGAGATGCCTTCTAGTGTGCAATACTCTGCCTCCTTTGTGCAGGGTAGGAAAGGGCCCCAAACATGATACTGAGTATGAAATGATTGCTGTAACTCAAGCTGGGTTAGGAGGTAGAAATGTATACCCTTCTAAAGACAAGCCCTGTGTGCAAATTCAGACAAAGGGCTCAGGACTCTGTCTTGGTTCTCTTCATGGGGCTAGGGAATCATACATGTGCTTCCTGGCTAAACATTGGTGTATGCTTTGGATGCACCTGAGTGGAAGCTGACTGAGAGTTAGGTCCAATCCATGCCTTTCAGAATTTTAGATATGTACAAAGAGAGGTGACCCTGATACAACTCAGAACCAATTCATCATGAGGATGCAAATTTCCAAACTACAGAATTCATTGTTCTAGAAAATATTCAACCAAAATAAAGAAAATAAGCAAAAGCCAGTTTTTGTCTTTATATCTGCAATACCTCCTTTCCTGTCTACTTCCCAGTAATGTGTATTCTTCATATTTCCATTATGTTTACATGTCTCAGAGACTTTCCACAGTTTATATAAAACTACTTTTTCTCCACAACATAATATTTCTTAAGCCTTCTTTTTTGGTGTCAAACAGGGCACATAGAAAGAATTTTATAATATATATGTGTGTGTATATATACATGGATTAGTTTAACTTTTATCTGAGGAGGGGAAAGAGAAAGAAAGAGAGAAACAAGTAGATCTCCCATCTGTTGGTTCACTCATCAAATGCTCACAGCATCTGGAGCTGGAGCAGGGTAGAGGTAGGAGCCCAGAACTCCAGGTCTCCCACATCGATCACAGGGTCCCAGTGCTCGAGCTATTACCTGCTTCCTCCCAGGGTGCATAGGTACAGGAAGCTGAAGTTGGAGTGAAGCTAGATATTGAATGAAGGCACACGGATCTGGGACACAGACAGTTTAAGCAAAACACCTGCCACTATTAGTCTATGTTTTAAAGGTCAGACGCAAAAATCAAGAAAGGCACAAGCTTTTACACTCCGACCCTGTTGGACCGATCTGTTAAAACAACATTCTCCGGGTTAACACAAGTGGATACTGAAATGAAGCTGGGATATAGTCCTCGGGCTGTTAAAGACAAAAGTACTTGGGATGCTAGAAGTGGAGACTTTGAGCAAAAATACAATTGATGTACTATGTGGAAAACATCCTTTTTCGTGGAAACAGGGGGGACACAAACCTTTGTCTGGGCATCCACATTAGCTCCTTGGTTGACGAGGACTTCAGCCACATTCACTCTGTCTTCCTGAGCAGCCAAATGGAGCGGGGTGAGGCCATTCTGTAAGAAACAGCAAGTACACAGATACTTTACAGGAAGGAATAGCGTATACATAGCCATGCTCATGAAAGAATTTGTGAAAATTGAGGGTTCTATGGGACTTCTACAACTTCTGTGTTTAAAGAAACATGTATAGAATATGTACCACACTGTTGAACACTTCTGCAACACAGCTAGCCATTTTTTGGATTAACACAAAGTTTCAGGAATTCGCAGAGGCAGAGGGACTGGAGTCAACCTTTTCATTCATCGCAGACAGCAACTTGCAAGATTTTCCTGTGTTCACTTTGCCCATTCTTCACTTTGTTTTCAATCATTTCTTTACAGCAGGATTGGAAAGCAAATCCCAGACACGATGTTATGCCTGCCTACATATTTCAGTGTTCATATCCAAATACGGGAGACTCTAAGAACAAAACTGTTCAGGAAGTTTAACACATTATCCATTGTACTATCTTTAGGAAAAATTATCATAATAGCTATTTATAAAGTGGATATTGACTTTAGATAGTAACAGCCATTCCAACTCCCTGTAGCCTGACAAATGATTCCCGTGTGTTGCTTCCAGGTGGAACACATTGTCTAGCAAATACAATGTGAATACTAGATCAAATCACTTATCTAGCATACAGATGTAACTAGATGAAACCTTTGCAACTGACCTTGCCAGAGAAGACCATGAAACAAGTACTAAGACTATACTCAGGTTCATAAAACCCTTGTAATTATAAAGCAGTTGTCCCCATAAATCAGATTTAAAAGAAACAAATTAGTATAGGCGATTTCTGATTATTTCTTTCATCCTGTATCAACACTTCTGTTAGCATCTTGGTCATAGAACCCTTCCTTATTCCCAGCATATGGACATTGAGAACATCAGTCTGTCCCTTTTGTCAAAAGAAGAGATTCAAAGAATACTTTGGGCCAGAAACAATCTTTTAGATGCAGATCATTTATTTTCTTACGGGCTGTCATTTCATCAAAGATATTACAGTATTCAGAAATAACCATTCATTGGTGATTTGGGGAGAATGTTTATAGGATTTTGGAAGGGGCACATACAGCTGAATAAAGAGGAAATACGAAAAGGAGGACCAAGGCATTCACTTGAAATCCAAGTAAAATAAGCCAGGGCCCAAATTGGCATCAGCCAAACACTGACATCATCATGTAATCATGTTCTCTGTTCTACTTTGGAGGAAGTGGCATTTTCAGCCATAACATTTTGTGAAAGTGTGTCATGGTCACCTATTCTGAGACATTTATAAACTCTATACAGAGGAGTTTCAGCAAAGACTGGGAAATGTATTCTGTCCACGGGCTCTAAACTCTCAGACATTCTCTTTATGAAGAATGGTATTGACCAGGTACAGACCTTACGCTTCTCATCATTACTTCCTAATCATGATCGTGTATGTAACATTTGCGTTGTCTGAGGTCTAATAAGTAATCCAGAAATGATTTCACCTACATAGAAGGGTGTAAATAAGTTGCATGTAAATACTGAACCATTTTCTAGAAAGGACTTGGGCAGCCTTGGGCTTTGGAACCTGCAGGGGGGTCCTGGATCCAATTTCCTTGCAGACACTGAAGAATGATCATACTTATTCAGTTTATTTATTTGTGTGTGTATTTTTAACGGTTGTACTTGTCATCTCACCATAAAGCCATTGTTATTTTGCACCTCTGCTTCAATATCTGAGCTATAGCTGAGATATGTCACACCCATGCCATCAGCAAACAAACAGAGCAGAGTGTGTATTTTCAGCAACATGGGGGCACTTCTGTAGGGCTTCCTGTAGACTGAGAAATACCTGTTTTATGTTTTGTGCAGATATGAATTAGCCGAACCCAATTCTTTATTACATATAATGAGAATCAACAGACTCAATAATGTGTTTTTAGTTGACTGTTGTCCAAACTTTCATGATGCTTGACCAGAACTTCTATTTCTTCACAAGTAATGGTGACACGAATGATAAAGGAGGGTGCCTCATGAATTCAGGAAAAGTTTCCAAAGGTTCTTTTAGAACTGCCAACTTTTCCACAAATTCTAGAGCTGTAAGCAACTTTCCCCCTCTATTCAACAAAATGTGAACTGTAATTTCTGTTACTAAATTATACTGTCAGAGGATTTCTAATTTCTCTTTGTAATGTAGACTTAAAAGTGGACAAGCAATGATAGGGGCCCCAAAGTCTTTGTAGAATAAATAAATAGGCCATACCTCATCCTGATGAGGTAATGATGTAGCTTTTTGCTAAGGAAATTTTTTCAAATTACTCTTCAAAACATTGTTGATTTCATCTTTATGGCTCCGTATATGTAAAGTCACAGGCCTACAGACTCACCTACATGACTGAATTACTTAGCATTCTCTCAGTACCTACATCAATGGTCTCTAGGTGTTTGCTATTTATAAACAACACATCAGTGGACATCTTTGTACAATATTACACTTTAAAATTATTCAATCCAGCTTTTTCATTCATTTTTAGTGACCCTTTTGGCTGTGAAGTTTTATACGTTTTGTAGGGCAAGAAAACGAGTTACCTTATTGCTCAGGTTCACGTTGGCATTTCTGCCTAGCAGCAGAGACACCATGTCCACGTGCCCTTCCTGAGCTGCAAGATGGACGGAGGCAATTCCTTGCCGGGTAACCGCGTTGGCATCAGCACCATATTCCAGCAGAGTTGTTGCTATGTCCATCTGGTTCTTCTGGGCAGCAATGTGCAGTGGCGTGTAACCATTCTGTCAACATGAATCACTTGGTCACAGGCCCGAAAACAAGGCAAAAGTGTGTGCAGTGCATTTACAAATGGTATATATTTTTCTTTCTGGTACCTTTCTCTGGCTGAAAAATCATGAGGTAAGTAGGTAAGTAAAAATCATCAGGTAAGTAGGCATTGATAAGTTGTGTCATTAATGTAAAACCTCCATCTCTTACCTTCCTAAGCACGGAAAACATGATTTTAAAAAGGCCAATTGATTTCAAGAGAGCAAAAAAGTACTGTTGGTTTTCCTAAAGGAACTTGGTTTCCCATTTATAGTTTGTTTTATTAATATGTGTTCAATAATTGCTTTTTTTTTTCATTTAAATTCAGGTTAGGAGCAAATCTTGCCAGAAAATAACCAAATGCTACTGGGGCATGTTCAGAGCCATTTGATATCAACACATGAAAGTGGAAATGTCACTTCTTGACTCTTCTATAGCCAGCCGCCACCACACTGGAGCAGCCAGGGTAGGAGATTTTATATCCCTATTTTTAGTTTTGACCTAATGCCATCTGGAAGACCCAGCTGCCCTGGGAAGCATCTGTCCTCCTACCCACACACTCTTCAGAGACCAAGGCTGAGCTTTGGGTTGCGCTTAACTCTACAGTGAGTAAGAGGAGGGAAGGGACATCCCACACCCTTGTGTAAGTGATAAAATTCACAAGCTCACATTAAAATAGGACATGTGACTAGTCAGGATATCTAACACTAACTAGTTAGAGTGTTAGGGCCAGACATGGTATAATTTAACTTGTTTGCTTGTATTTTATTTCTTGTTTTAACTACTGACACAACCTTCAAGTTCATCACGTCCCAGTCTCCAGCCAAGGTAAGGCAACTCAATATTCTCTTAGATATAACAGTCTTCCTGATACTTCTAATTCTACCAAAATAAATTCTAGCTCCCCACCCCCAAAAAACCCTGAAGATTTGTCATCTCTATAATGCAAACTAGTTGCAGAGAAAGAACTCATTATTGCTGAGGGCTTTATTTCTGATATCTTTACCAGAGAAACAAAGAAAAAAGCAAGGATTGAAGTTAGAAAGATTTAAGAAATGTTTTCAAATAACCAAAAAACAATTATGCTGAGACTCACAGTGGGAATATTTTACATTTTTAACTGCTTCATGTTTTCTGGAAATGAAATGATTCTCATTTACCACACTAAGAGAAGCTTATCAGAAGAAAAATAAAGCTGTGAGATTCAACTGTAAGTGCTTGCCATGTGTGGCTATGCATTTCAAAATGAAAATAAAAACTGTCAAAATTAAGATGCAGAATTTATATCATATGTTGTATTTTTTCCAAAAATTGCCAGACACATAGTGATCCACATCAATAGATGTGTTGCTCATTTCACGGGAGAGACATGGTGAGCTACCAAGTTAAGGTTCACCATCTCTTCCACAATTCGTGTCTGGCTATGCCTGAATTCATGCCGATCCCTTTTCCAGCACAGCACCCTGACTGAGGGAACAGATCTAGCTAAAGTGGATTACAACAGTCCATCTACTTTTTTAGCACTCAGTTTTTAAAAATCACATCATGTTTCTGGGATACACATGAGGAAAAAAAAAATAGAACAAAGGACAACAGATATGATTTGAAGGAAAGTTAACAGTGAGGTTACTGCAGACACATCCAAACACGATGGTCTGTCTTGCATTTCTCATCTTTGCCATGTAGCAAAGCAGTGAGGATGCAGACCACCTACTCTTGTATGCCTCTACCAAGCTTTCTCAGCAAAAGCCACCATGGACAACATGCCTACAGGAAAAACTACATTTCCCACAATTCCTTGAGCTATGAGTAGCTAATGACAAGTAGGGAGAAGTGATGTGGGTGGGGTTTCTGGGAAAATTTTGTTTTGCTGACTTCCGCCTGGGCTTGAAAGGGTATATGGCAGCAAGAATCTCTAGAGGGAAAGGCAAAATGAACAAGCTAGCAAATCATAAGAACTTGCCTGCACACTCTGGAAACGCTAAACCAACACCAACAACAGCTCTCCTTGCCGCCTGGACCGGATGACTTGGGACTGGAGCCTCGTCAATTTAAACCATTGAAACCAGAGTTTTTTCCCTTGCAGATAGAGCACTCCTAAGCAGTAGAACTGGCTTTGCTCAGGATCAAAGTCTACAAGAACGTCTCTGACACCTGCTAGTACTCTGGGCAATGGGGATGGTTGGATCAAAGCCAGAGATAAGATTGCAACACTCTGACAGCGGCTGTTGAGTTATGCATAGGACAATCAACCTCCCCCATGAGGAGCCTGTGTTTAATTGACTGTGGAAGATTCGTCCAATGCTAATGAGAGTTACAAGGAACTATTTAAAGGACTGCTCTCCATTCCCTGTCAAGGATTTTTTTTTTCAAAATCGGAACCATGAATATCATCAAGTCTTGGTTGTCAAACAAAGCTGGAAATTAACTACAAAAATACCACCTATTAACTTATATAAGAGTTACCTGTGATAGAGTAGACTTGTTTTGTTATGCTTATTTTATAACTCTTGTCAATTCTAAACTGTTTGGTACTCAGTGTGCCAAATTATTCCCATTTGAGAAATGAATTGTACATTTGCTAACTTGAGGTTATTTGTAAGAAAAGCTGCCCACATGCACATGATTATTAAAATACAGTGAAATACAAGGAAAATCATTTAATTCCATCACAAATTTTCCCTTTAAAATTCTGGTACAATACACTTAACAAAATTTTTCATTGCAAGCATTTGTTAAGTGAACAGGCCAGCAGCATTAAGGACATGATTTGCCTATCATCAGAGTTATTCATCTAATTCCAGAACTTTTTCATCTTCCCCAAAATGAAATTCTATAACCATATTATAATAATCTTTCATTCCCCCTTTTCTTCTGCTCTGATAATCAACATTCTAACTCTGCCTCTATGAATTTGCCTGTTCTACACACCTCTTTTTTTTTTTTAATTTAAAACAAATATATTCTCACTTCATTACAATGCTTGTCATAGGCAAACATTGCCAACATCCCACATGCAAAGGACTAAAACGTTAGGTTACCTCCTCAGAAATCCAGTTAATCATTAAATTACACAGATACAGATTTATCGACAGTGTTCACAAGAGAATGCTTTAAAATCAAGTTAAACAGGGCCAGTGCTATGGCACAATGTGCTAAGCCTTTCTCTGTGGTGCAGGCACTCCATATGGATGCCATTTCATGTCCTGGGCTACACATCTCTTCTAAGTGGTATCATATAAGATACATATGCTTGTAACTGGCTTGCTCTTTTACTACAATGTCTTCAGGATTCATCTGACTTTGCCTCCTTGTTAAGGCTAGATGGGATTCTGTTACATGCACAGACGCACAGATTCCCATCTATTTGCTCATTTGAATAAGAGCTGTTTTGACTTTGGCTACTGTAAATAATTCTGTGATATATTTTCTTAATCAAATCAAACCATGGCTTCATGATATAAGTTATATTTGTCATGGTGAGAAATTGTGGAGTAAAAGTTGCATTTACATGAAAAACTGATTAAGAAGTTTGATTCTAAATTGTAGATTTCATTAAGTATAATTATAGAGTAAATGCTGGAAACCATCGAAGAAAAAGAGGTTCTAGGAGATATAACGGGCAAAGACAACAAATAAAGAAAGTACTCAACATGTGTTAAGCCCTCTGCAGGAGTCTAGCATGGTCTGTGTTCACTGATCCGTGTTTACTGCTGAGTGGATCTAACATGGAGCTTAAACAGCACCAACACTGCTCCACAATGGAGTCACAGAAAGCATGAGGGGTGCTAAAATCCTCCCACCAAGAGTATTCAGTAAAGGAATTGGACAATTCTTAAGCTGTGGTTTGTGTCACTGCAGTGTTCTCTGATCACAGTCACCTGTTCAACAACAGTGAAGTTACGAAGCCAACCATGTTTTATTATTCTGTCTTTAAATAAGCTCTTCTTCATGATTTATTCCTCAAATTAGAACCCCAGAGCAGTAGGGTGGCTGTACACTACATTTACATCTTTTCTCAAATATTCAAGTTGTCTACTGATCAAAAATATTCTAACAATGACAATAAAGATTCCCCTTAACAACACCACACATAGAAAACCTCCCAACCCACTTTATGAAGACAAACAAGTGGAAGGCAGTGCTTTAAGACCAGGACTGTAGGTACCTTTGCAGCCGCGTGAGGTGAGGCTCCTTGGTCCAAAAGCAGAAGGGCCACTTTCTGATTATCATAATGTGCAGCAACATGCAGTGGAGTTAGCCCGCTCTGAAAACACGTGCAGAAACAACAACCAGGGTCAAGAGTGCCTTAATAGCAGATGTCTAGATTGAGGAGATGAGATCAGATTGCATAGAACAGAGACTGTAGCTTACATTCCAGTTTCTGTTACCTCTTACTCCCCAAATGTTCTTTATCCTAGCAGGAGTTAAACATGGATTACCATTTGAGTGGCTGTTGGTGAATATTAGCAGGTGTGTGTTTGGTTACCATAGAAGTAGCCTGTTCCACGGTAGCTGTGACCTCATACCTTTCCAGCAGCATCAGGAGACGCACTTTTCTGTAATAGAAGGTTGGCTACTTCAAGTTTCCCATACTTTGCTGCCACGTGAAGGGGAGTAAACCCTTTCTGCAAAAAAGACACACAAATATAATGAATGACAGAAACAAAATGCAATGATGAACAGAACATACTACAGTATGCAATCTTTCTCTCTCAGCTGACTGTGAAACAACATGCAACTAATTAGCTGTCTCACTGGGAGGAAGTTGGGGAACTGGAGCTAGGATTTTTGCCAAGGTCATTTTTTGGCTCCACATTGTATAAAGACTAGGTTACCAGGTTTCCAATCAAGTTGGATCACTTTGGAAAATACAGGGCAAGTCAAGATCTCCTGCAGTTTCATAATACCTGACTGGATAGTTTCTCTTCCCCTTTTCCTCTTTGTTCTTGCATACATACATCCTTATGTATGCTCCAGTCTTCAGTAGTAAGTTGGAAATTCTATCAATTCTGTCAGTACAGGTGAACTGAGCTGTAGCCTGACACACATGCAGCCATTGTAAGCTGAATGGCTACACTCCAAAGATTCAACTCCTACAAAGACCTGGGTAGAAGCCTGTCAGCATGTACCTTTAACAGGGGGTCTTGAGCATACATCAGGAAATGGAGGGTTATCAATACGTTTGGCCCCATAAGGCTACAGCAAATACTCAGTAAGCATAGTGGAAGGACACCCAAACCCCATCACCCAATATCCTGCCTCACATACTAAAGAAGATGTAAAGAATCTGAAGCAATCAAAGAACCAACAGAGATGAAGTTTGAAGTAGCCATCATTTGTCTAAATAATTTTCTATGCATTTTCTGCTTTGATTATATATTTTTTATCAACACCCAAATAATAGTGTTCTACACCAATTATGCATTTTTAAAGACACACTATAGCTCAATTTATCTTGCTATCACATGTGCTAGTCTAGGTAGCATGATGATTTTAGGTTCTGCATACATAAAGAATATTGCTCTAAAACATTAAAGATAAAAAAATGAAGCCATAAATCAGGCAGCACAAGAACCACAGCAAATAAAAACAATCCAAGAGAAGTTTGCCTCCTAATTTAAAAGCATCACAAGCATTTACCAGCTGATAATAAGGTTTGTACTTAGCTTCAGCAAGCAAAATCTGTAATTGTATTTCCAAATAGCCACTTAATATATAAAATAAATTGCAAGAAAGCTTCGATCCTAGACATCAACTGACAAATTTAAGGAACAAACAAAACCAATGCCACACAATATAACATACTACCCTTTCCCACTTCAGCCCTTTGCCTAAAACACATTCATGACTTGCCTGGGACTCCAAGGTTTCTGCTGTTGTATAGCTTGGTGTTACTGATGCCATAACTGGCTTTCATACCTTTGTTGTTATAGATAAAGATGCTCCATGATCCAGAAGGAATGCAGCTACGTCTTCATGCCCTTCTCGGGCTGAAAGGTGAAGAGGGGTGTACCCTGATGTCGTGGCTGCATTTGGCGATGCTCCTTGCTGCAGCAGTTGTTGGACTATATCTGCCTTCCCCAGTCGAGCAGAAATGTGAAGTGGGGTTTGGTCATCCTAAACATCAAGGTAGAAATGCAAAGCTGATGAACTCCAAAAACAATGGTGCCATCAAGAAAAATTCAGAGAGTATTAGCTACCTGGTATCAGCGGTACATTCAACTATGAGATTTAACTCTTTAATTCAATCTAAAAAGAATGCCTATCTTTTCCCACCAGCTTCAGAAATGTGGCAATAGCAGATCTAAGCTTCTTACATATACTTGGTGAGATCTATTAGTACAATCATGTGAAAAACATGTCTATCCATAAATTACCATCACCATGACCTGCTACAGAATGTCCATTTTTAACCTCTAGTGTCTCCTTTTTTGAGGAGATGAAGGACTACATCCTATTAAAATTCATATATCTAGAGGGATATTAGAGTTCTATCAGCCATTATGCATTCATCTGAAATTATTTAATTGGTGCTTCCTTCTCACATTCAAACGCAGAGAAAGTAGTAGCTATTGAGGTATGTGAGCACTTGGGCAAAAGCTCCCAGCCGACAGGGCTGAGGAGGCTGACCCCCTCTGATTGCGAAGTTGAGCAGCCTGGCCTAGATTGCATCTGCTAATGATGGGGCATCACTACATTGTCATTAATCCCAAAGCACAAGGTACTCACCAAGCCCTGTACCTTTAGAACCTTCTCCCCTCCCCAAGGGAGAGAGTCATCTTTTACCAATTTGCCCATTGATGGTCCTCCAGATAGCAGTTCTCTAATGATATGTGGCAAAGTTCAGATAAATGCATTCATCAGGAAAGATAGAGAAAAGTGCCCTAGAACACAGGACACTATTCTTGAATAAGCAGAATGAAGATGAGGGTACAAACTAGAGGAGTTAGCTAACCAACAGGAAGTATGAGCTGAGTCAGAAGAGATGCCATGAAGGAGAAAGAAGAAAATCGAAAGCGTAAAAAAGCTAGATGCCAAAGAAAAATCTCCACTATTGCCACCACAAGCACCAAATATTTATGGAATGCCTACTATGTCCCAAGTCCTTTATTCTACCTGCATTAACCCATTGATCCTTATTCTAATCTTAAGACTTGCAACAATCATTACTCTCACTTTTTATATGAGGATTCTAGAAAAATGTGGTGCAAGGATATTAACTGAACAAGTATTTTCATCGTGAATAAACAGAGGGTTTTCTATCCACTGTTTCATGCCCAAAATGGCCATAACAGGTGGAGCTGGGCCAGGCAGAAGCCAGGGGCATCTTCTTGTTCTCCTATGTGGGTTCAGGGGTCCATTCATTTGGGCCATCTTCTGCTGCTTACCTCAGTGCATTCTCAGGGAGCTGGATTGGAAGTGAGGCAGTCCAGGACCCAAACTGGCACCCTAGGATATGGGGCAGTGCAGGAAGCAGCTTAACCTATGTCACAGTGCCATGTCCGTGCTGACCTCTGTTTCTAAGTGCTCTGTGAAATCCACCAACTCCTCAAGGGAGGGGTGGACTGGAGGCTGGTGACCTGCTGCCTAGGATATTATTAGGGTCTTTCTACCACTTCATAGATTTTATGATGACAAAGACACAGTGCTTCATTCCCACAGAGTTATGTGATGTTCATTACTAGTTTATAAAATTTACTAGTAACTATAATTATGTACGTAAGCAATAGGTAAGGAGGTAAGCTGTAGCAAGAAAGGAAAGTTTTGATTTTTCCCTTGGAAAAATAAGCTTTGGAGGGCCTTGATAGGAGTTATTATGATTGAAATAAATATTGGGAGAGCAGCTTAATATTCTCTGGTAGAATTAGAAAAATCTCAGCTTTCTCTTTATTTAAACCCAAAGTAGTAACTGCATACCATGCAAATAAATGGTAAATAAATGTACATTTATATATTGTGGGTTAAAACAAAATGGGCAAGCTATTTGTGTAGGTACTTGAGATTTCTTTCCTGAAATTGTGTTCGTACAGCCAGATCATCCACCCTTCCTGATAGTGGCAGGCTGTGGCTTTCTTCTGGAGGCTCACCCGTGACATTCTCAAGGGTCCATGCTCACCCATGACATTCCTCCTAACCAGAGACAGTTGTGCTATGAGTCTCAGGCTTTATTGCTTTACAGCTGGCAGAAAACTTTCTTTTTCCCTGCTGTGCCTGTGACAGCTGACATATCATTCAACCATAAGAGCTCAACTATGCCACATGTTTGTTCTAGAAGTTCTGTGCATAAGCTCCTCTCCCTGGAGTGGGAAGAACTCTGGACAAAGTCTAGACTCAGTGCCTAATCTTCTAAGGACAGCAGTGTGTTGAAGACAGCTACAGGCACAAAGTTCTTGCTCCCTGTAATTTGATTAAACACTTGAATGAACAATGAGGGAGAAATTATTTTTTTTTGGTAACAATATGACTTGGATAGAAACTTTTGTCAATAGGGCTTGTTCACTATTTTCAACTAATATTCTTGAACTACACCATGGATACGTGTGGAGCTTTTATGAAAATCTGAAGTTTCCCCCTGAGGGGCCAGAGTCTGCTGCATCACACATACCTTGGCTTTAGCTTCTACCTGAGCTCCATCCTGCACCAGATACCGCACGACTTCCGCTTGGCCGGACCGGGCTGCCATATGCAGTGCAGTTTCACCTCTCTGGGGAACATGAACCATAGTCAATTAGCTACAACTGCGAGGGACAGAAGCCTATTTTATTTGACATAAAAGTTCAGGATGGAATTGATAAAAAATTCTTAATTGGAAATTTGGGACACCAAATACATGGGAATGCCACAAAACCTGACCTACGATGATGAGGACTTCAGTGTTACACCAAGGAGCCCAGCCTCCAGCAGTCTCAGAAGCTGCTCAGCAATCTATCACCTGACCTCACTGGAGCTTAAAAGGTGAATGCCCACAGCGGGCAGACAGGCAGGCAGGTGTGTGGCCCAGGTCAGGCAGGGAGAGCTTCACAAGAGACATCACACTGGTTCAAACATGGGCCGCCGCCTATCTGCAAACGGCCATTTCGACATGCAGGATGGAGCCGCATCAGGTCGTGCCTTCCCGCTTTCCAGATGAAGCAGCATTCTGAATATTTTGGGTATGTTTCCCAATTCTTAAATGCAGACAATGAAATCAGAGCCAACACAACACTTCCTGTCCACTGAAAACCCACGTGAGGGCTAGACTTGGCTTCTCCCTGGTTAGTCTGCATTCACTGATCTAGTCAGATCACAATCCCAGTCCTTGGTTTATCCTAAGCGACCATTTTCTTAGCCACTGGTCCCTATTTTCCCCAGCTTCTTGCCAAAATACTCATTCACTTAGTAATACATCAAAGCAAGACAAAAACACGGACATCCTGAAATGTTAGAGTAATATATGCCTAATATACTTTCTCACACAAATGATGCCTACATCCAAGCTGCTTTTATGTAAGAGATCTTTCAAAAATCCCTGAGAAACTGACATTATAAAGAAAGAAAAAAAAAGATCCATGGGTTTGCTAATATTTTTACATCGAAATAAAGTTATCTTTTCATTCTGCATAAACTTATCCAAGTCCCTTCATAGACTGAGCTTTGTTAAATAGATTACCTGTGTGCATGGAAGGAAAGCCGGGGGCAGATTTCCCAGGAATCCTAGTTTTGTGCTTACTAGAGAGTGAAAACACCAACCTCAACCTCTATCTCCTAGTGTTTTCTTTCATGTGCTGGAATTAGCACCAGGAGACACAGCACCCCACCCACTTCCAACAGCGGGGTGTGGGTGGGGGCTGCACAGCCTCACTGTGGACCGGCTGCTCAGGTGGCCACACAGGAACTGACAGCTAGTCCCACTGTGCCAGGATGCAGCCTGCTACATTTTTACTTTATGAGTGCTCATGAATCAGCAAGTCTTTTATGGCTTGTGATCCAGTGTACTGATGCTATAATGATGTCCAATTTGAAATCCTGTGTAACAATGTCAAATGCCACATGTGGATCTGAGGCACTAAGTCACTGGAGATCTGCTCTGAACTGAGCTGCATGGCTCTGACAGAGCAAGGCATTCTGCTGCAGAAACAGCATGTTCTGATTGTCTACGAGCTCAGAGTCCCACTAGTTTGCTGCAATACTCAGGAGGCACAGGAAAGGGAGATTACTTTGGAGTCACAGGAGAGCCTTTCTTTATGTAAGCAATGACAGTGCCTGAACCACCTCCTCAGCCTGCAGCACTTCCTGGTGCTCTTTTTATAGGGAAACCCTCCTCTCCACTTGATGTACCCACAGGGTAACAGACACACTCGTAAGTCCTGATAATTTGTGGCCAGCTAGGAACTGAAATGATTTTACTTCCAAAGCAAAAGAAACCAAGAGTATTCAGAAATTCTGTCGTTTTAAATAGATATAGTAATTAATATAACAAAAATAAATAATATGATGAAAGCCACCCTGGCCTATTTCTTAAATAGTCACAGTTGAAGTGTCTTTATTCAAGGGCTACTTACCACGTTGGTGGTGTTCGGTGAGGCCCCATGATGCATTAGTTGTGATACAATATTTACATGCCCCATGAAGGCAGCAACATGGATTGGGGTAAGGCCCGACTAAGAGGAAATGAAAGAAACATTGATTTATTGGTTAATCACAAACAAAATTTGTCTACGAACCCACCAGCCTGCCTGCTATCCATCACCCATCTATTTCACTACTGAACTATCTTAAATCAGCTTAAATCATCTTAAATCAGACTAATCTATTTAAATCAGTCTGGTGTTTCATTTATCTTCATCAGTATCCATTCATACTCACTCACTCTCCTCTTCTCTCTCTGTGGCTCCCTAACAATTTAGTAACCAGAACAGAAGGTATGAGGGTATTAAAAATTTTATTGCAGATTCATAATTTAAGTCCATCAACATGTAAATCACCATTTCCCTAAGGCAAGATCTGTGATTATGGAAAAGCTATGTCATATCTGTTTCCTACTTGTGGTATAAATTTATGAAAGAATTTTTTTTTCCATTTGCTACTAAACCCTCCACACTCATGAATATGTATGGGGAGGAGGCATTGTGGTTTTAGATATACATATACATATATATATCAGTAAATACTTGACTTTCATCTCAGATCCTATTTGTTTATTTAAGATTTACTTATTTATTTGAAAGGTAGAGACTCAGAGAGACAAAGAAGCAGTGGGAGAGATTTTTCAACTGCCAGTTCATTCCCCAAATGGCTGCAATAGCCAGAGGTGAATCAGTCAGAAACCAGGAGCTTCTTCCTGGTCTCCCACCTGTGTACAAGGGTCCAAGTATTTGGGCCATCTCCCACTGCTTCTCCCAGGCACATTAGCATGGAACAGGATCAGAAGCAGAGCAGCTGGGATTCAAACTGGCACCTGAAGGAGAAGCCGGTCCCCTGGCTGATGGCATGGCACCAGCCCCCAGATTCTATTTTATTAGAGTTATCATATTTACTTGAAAGGAAGAAGTACAGAGAGAGGGAGAGAGACACGCATAAACACAGAAATCTGCCATCCAGTGGTTTGTTCCCCAAATGGCCGCAAAGCTTGGGGCTCAATCAGGCCAAAGCCCGGAGCTTAGACTTTCATCTGGGCTCCTTGCATGTTCAGGGGCCCGAGGACTTGAATCTTCTTCTGTTGCTTTCCCAGATGCATTAGCAGGGAGCTGGATTAGAAGTGGAACAGCCAGGATTCCAACTAGCACCATATGGGAAACCAGTGCTGCAGGCATCAGCGTATCAAATGATGCCACAGGCCAGTTGCACAGATTCTAATCTGAGCTTTAAAAAGGATTCACACACACTTGGAATAAACTTTTATGTTAGACACCAGAAAAACCCAAACCAAACCAAACCAAAACAAAAAACACAGGACCTATCCCAGAACCATCCCTCTGGAAACGAGCAAACCAGCACAGAGTGCGCTAATCATTTTACTTTATGGTATTATAAATTAAAGCAATATAAGTGAGACAACTATTGCAAAGTTACTAGACTAGACCTCAATTTTTATGTTTGCCTCCAAGCCACAAACACATCCACCTTCCCCGAAACTACTCCACATAAAGCAGGATTTACTGGTTCCAGAGACTCTTATGTCTAATATGCCCATGATTTTACGTCTGAGGTACAGTGGATAAATAAAAGGAATCGATGTCTCAAGTCAAAAATCTTATTAAGGAGTGAATTATATGTGTTTTTTATGTAAGATGACTCCACTTCAAATTTTTGAGAATGTAACTTTACACCATAGTTGGTAATAAAATTTGATTTTTCAAAAATCTTCCTAACAATGATTAGGAAGAGCTAACTTTTTTATCAAAGGGAAGAAAATAATTAATTTCCATTGAAATTTGAGGAATGTTAAAAAAAAAACACATGAAAGAAATTCCCTACAACATGTGGTTCAAGCAAGACGCAAATAACTCTGGCTGCTAGACTTCAAAAAGTGAGGAGGAAAGGAAATGGGGGCGGGGAAGGATGCAGTGACAGTCTCATGCCTTTTGCCATCAGAGGGGGATGTCACCAGCACTCAGTCCTGGGGAGCTCTCGGGGAGCACGGCTCTGCCATGGAGGCGCTCACCACTGACTAACCTCTCTAGATCCTCACTTATGCATCAGTCAAAACTCTGCTTTTCTTCCAGAAATGACTGGTCCTTAAAGGCAGTTCTCAAGCACTGAGAATAAACTTTAGTCCTTTATATCAAAAGAACAGGTTGCCTATCACGAACCTCTTGGTCTCATGAAAGAGCCAATCAGTATTAATATCTTCAGGCATGTTATATTTTGAAACTATAGTCAAGGTAAAGATTCCATTTGTAGGTTAAAAAACTGAAGCCAAGCAACAACTGCTGAGCTGAACTTTAATTTCTATGTTTTCTTTTAATCCTAGTTTCAAGCATCTAGCACTCAAGAGAGTTCACGGAGTGAGCTAATGACTCGGGAGACTCAGCTGTGACTCCAAGGATCCTGTTGCTTTGGGGGGCTCTGGGGGAGCTACTGGAGCAGAAGAAGTTAGACAAGTGCTTTGATAGAAACACCCAGGATGAGGTAACTGAAAAGAAGTGCCTTGCTCAAGTCAGGGAGAGAAGGAGGCTTCCCCAAGATATGCCGGGTTAGCCTGGCAAAGGGGGTTTGACTGATGAAGTGCAGATATACACGGAGCTGACCCAAAGAGAGTCTAGACTAAGAAACTGACAATGCCTGGGATCCATGAGGATCAAATTCCTGGGAAGTGGCTGCTGAGGTGGAGGAAGTCTGGAGGTATACCTGATGCCTGGCTTGGCTTGCTATGTTGAAGTCTCAGCCCCAATTCTCATGAATCATTTCAATGCATTCTGAACTGGTTTCTATGAAAGAAACTGAGGACTGGTCCTTTACTAATTCATCAATGCCTTCACTGATTTTGAGTTTTTTTTTTTAATTTATTTATTTTGTTGGAAAGTCAGGTCTACAGAGAGAAGAGAGATAGGTCTTGCGTGTGCTAGTTCACTTCTCACATGGCCTCAATAGCTGAGGCTGAGTCAATCTGAAGCCAAGAGCTTCTTCGAGGTCTCCCATGCAGGTGCAGGGTCCCAAGGCTCTGGGCCATTCTTGACTGGTTTCCTAGGCCATAAGCAGGGAGCTGGATGGGAAGTGGAGCAGCGGGATACAAACCTGTGCCCATATGGGATCCCATCAGGTGCAAGGCAAGGACTTAGCCACTAGGTTATTGCACCGGGCCTGATTTTGAGTTCTTAGACACAGTAACCCTTCTTGATAAAAACATAGCACTGCACACATGTGACAGTTTGAGTTAGGAAATTGTCACTGTAGACTATACTATTCCTTGTTTTTAAAAAAATGCTTAGTAGCATCTCTGGCTGTTACCTGAGAAACATGTAGCACTGTGTGGCTGTAACAACTAAAAATACTTCCAGACATTACCTCTTGGGGGACAAAATCACCTGCATTAGAAAAGCACTACTGAACAGGATTCCACATAAATTACAGTTTCAGGGTTGGTACCACTCATCCTGAGTGTGAACCTTGTTCACACAAACCTTTGGGCTCTGTTTTCAGTCAAGGAAGCGCATTTTCACCCCATGCTCTTGTCTGCCTTTCACTAAGGACTGGCAGTCCTTGTGACAAGTTCAGAATGTGGCTTGTGGCACTGACTCACAGGCAGGATTCACCAGTCCTGAGAGGCCCTGGGCCCCTGGCCAGAAAGTCTATTCTCCCAGCCCCTCAGGGTCCCAGACACCTTCCCACTCTCACCTCTGTCACGGCTTGGATGGATGCACCGTGTTTCAGAAGGAGTTCCATGACCTTAATTCGGTTCTTCTTGCAGGCTATATGCAGGGGGGTAAAGCCATTCTGAAAACGACAAACACACATTTCTGCTTTGACCATTGTCCACTGGAAGCCAATGTCACTATGCACAGCAAAATAAACTTATGCTGAGCAAATACGCTAAACAGTCCATCACTACGGGCAAACTCTGTGGGTTAAAGTGAATGCTGATTCTTCTCTTGGGTAGAGGTAGTTAAGTTGCAAGGGGTCCTGCTAGGGAAGAACAGGAAATGAATTTTTGAGCCAATCACCTGGTAGCTATGACAAAATCATGGAGTGTTTCCTTAGACTATTTTATGTGGGAATTGGTTCTTTCAGGTAATATGTCTCTTCTCCATCTCTCTACAAGCATACTCGGGAAAGTTCTGGGTGTGTGTCTAAAGGGTCTAAGCATATGTCCTGATTCAATTCTTATTCTGACTTCTCTGTTATGCTCTAGAATGACTACAAGATCAGTTCCAAAGAGCTTAAATTTCTTCTCCAGCAAGTCGGCACTCACACCAAGGAAGCAGAACTTGGATCATTCAGCTTAATACTTAATCTTATAAAACAGTCTGCTTTTTAACAAATTGCCTACCAAACTGTCCTTTCTGATCACTGAACCTAGGAAAAATGTCTCAGGTGCCACTGGACAATGATAAAATACTGTGCTGCACCATACCATGTACATCAAGCCATTTGGCCCCTGTCCCACCCAGAATGACTGGTTACAACCTCTGTATGTTGTTAGGAAATCTTCAGAGTCAGAGAAAACAGAGCTAGTGTCCACACCCTGATTTAAGCCTTTTTTTTTTCTATATGGAAAAATGAGTCATGATTGCTCATTTCTCTTCCTCCTTTCTCAGAACTGTAACTCCCAGTTAATACCCTGGGAAGGTCAACAGTTCTGGAAATGTTGCTTAGGTCAATCTTCTAAAAATGTGAGGGCAGGGAAATTATGTGAAGTCTGTGCACTGCAGATTTCAGAGCCACAGCGCATACTGCAGGCAGTGTGGGTACATTCAGACAGGATGACAACATTACACTGGGTTGACTGAATGGGTCACTTACTTCAAAACTGCCAGAAAACTCCCACGTTTTCCCTAAAACATGGTGACCTCCTTTTTCCCAAACAAGGGTGCTTGATGCTTAATTAAATTTAACTGTCTGACCAAGTTGGGACCATTTATTTTTCCATAGAAAATAAACACTATATCACTGACAAAACTAAGTATAGCACAGCTAAGGCTTCACATAGCAAATTGTTTTAGAACTTAAAGTCTATTAACTTGACTAAATTTCCATCATATCAACAAGAAGATACATAGTATTTTATTGATTTACATGATTAACACAATATAAAATTTCTGGTGCAAATTTCCAGACCTTTTACAATTTAACCGAAGTGTTGTGATCATGTTGTCTCCAATTACATATTTCAGGAAAAAAAAACTTTCAACTTTATTCATAAGATAAGGCTGATCTCTTCAATAATTTTATGATTAGTCTCCAAGTTTTACTCGCTTTTAATTTTTTAAAGATTTACATATTTGAAAGACTGTGTAACAGAGAGAAAAGAGGGATCAGTCTTGCATCCACTGATTTACTCCCCAAATAGCCGTAAGAGCTGATTGTGGCTGGAGACACGCGTCTTGAACTCTAGCAAGGTTTCTTATGTGGGTGTCAGGGCACAGTACTAAGATCATCGTCCGCTGCTTTCCAAGCGCTTTAGCAAGAAGCTGGATTGGAAATGGGGCAGCTGGAACTGGATTCAGTGCCCACATGGGAAGCCAATATCATAGCTAACAGCTTAATTTAAGACTGCACAGTGCTGGCCCCTGGCTCTCATTTATGTAACACGATCATTAGTGTAACCATAAAGAATTATCCATCAAAATCTATAGGCCTACTTACATCAGAAATAAAAGGTTTTATCTATTTCCAAGAAGGCTATTTTAAAAATCTAATAACAAGTAGACCTTCCTCAATAGACATCTTTTATTTCTGCCTCTGTGAAAGCAACGTGCTCTACATGCAGAGGGAGAACTTAGGCTGGATGTGTCACCTGAGCCACTCACCAAGGCTTTGGCATTGGGGTTAGCTTTCTTATCCAAGAGAACCTTGGCGACTTTGTAATGGCCACAGTGGGCGGCCACGTGTAGGGCTGTCAGGTAGTCATTGGTGACGTCATCCACAGGCACATTATGTTGGAGGAGAAGCTGGACACAGTTCAAATGATCCCCTTGTGTGGCCATATGCAATGGAGATAGTCCATTCTAGAATACATAAGAAAATCACATACATCATCTTATAAAATCGCATTGTTTCAGAAGAAAGCACACATAAGGACAATTCGAAAACCTAGGATTTTTTTATGACTATATTCTGTATTTTTAAAATTTATTTGAGTGCCATAGAGATTGGGGGTGTGGGACAGGAGAGAGAACAAGTGAATACTAGCAATACTGGGCATGAGCTCATCCGTTAATTCATTTGTTAAATGCATGCAGTGGCTGAGACTGGGGTAGAATTGAAGCCTGGAGTATATGCTTGCAAGGAAGGAATCTCAACTGAACTTGAACTGTGCTTATGCAGCAAGGTGGAGGAATCCACCATAGGGGGAGGGGTATGGGAGGTGTGGGGGGAATCCCCAGTGCCTATAAAACTGTATCACATAACACAATGTTAATAACAATAAAAAAAATAGCATTATGACATCCAAAATAAAATTGCCAATAACTTAAAAAAAAAAAAAAAGAATTGAAGCCTGGAGCCAGAAATGTAAGCCAGGTCTCCTTTATGGATTGTAGGGACCTAAGTTCTTGAGCCATCACTGCTGTGTCACATGATCTGTATTAGCAGAAAGCTGGTATCAGGAGCTCCTGGAGCACGAAATAGAACCCAAACACTCTGATGTGGGATACAGCATCAATTTTTTTTTTAAGGCAGATATACAGAGAAGAGGAGAGACAGAAAGATATTCTATCCACTGGTTCACTCTCCAAGTAATCATAATGGCCAGAGCTGAGCTGATCCTAAGCCAGGAGCCAGAAGCTTCTTCTGGGTCTCCCTTGCAGGTGCAGGTGCAGGGTCCCAAGGCTTTGGGTTATCCTCGATTGCTTTCCCAGGCCATAAGCAGGGAGCAGCATGGGAAGTGGGGAAGCCAGGATACAAACCAGAGCCTATATGGACTCCTGGTAGATGCAAGACAAGGATTTACCCACTAGGCTATCGTGTTGAGCCCTGGATACAAGCATCTTAACTGCAAAGCTAAACACCTATTCCAATCTTCTATTTTAAAAAGGCGGTGACAACTGTTTTGAATTACAGCTACTTTTAAAACTGGTCCTCCTACTTCTTATGTCAATCAATAACAACATATCAGGATAACTGCTTTTCCTGATAACAAAAAAAGCAGTGTGAATTTCACTAAAACTGTAATTCATTTTATTGTATTCTTGTTAAAGGAACTCTTAATATTCAAGACTCAAAGGAAAAAATATAGCCCAGAACAGAAATGTATTGCTTGTGTTGGCATTTTGTCCATTCAGATTAGTGATTCTTGATGTTGAACACTATACGTGGATTTTTTTTTAAAGAGGGCCTGAATACATCTCATTCTATTCACATTAGTTCAAAAAATGTTTCCATTTTGTATAATCTGGTGCCCCCATGTGTCTATGATGAGGAAAAGCAAGGAATTTGGCCAGCTCACTTAACTGTCTCAGTTGGCTTAAATCAACTGGGTTCGATATCACAACCACATAAAATAGGAGGGAATTGAAAATTCATTGAAGAAGCTAAGACACAAATAAGGTCAAAAGCACACATCAACAGGAACTGGACTGAGCCGGGCTGCGCAACGCAATAATGGATGCTGAGGTGAGACAAGCCATGCCAGCCTCGGGTCAGTGAGTGCTGGGTTTGTGAGCCCCAGGGGCTCGGGTCACCTATTCTGAATCCTGGGGCCCACTTGTGAGGTAGGTGCCAGTTTAGTGAGCCCCCGGGGTGGAGAATCTGGTGGGGTTCAGGTCACCTAGCATGAGTCCTGGGGCCCTCAGGTGGTTGCCATGTTTGTGAGCCACAGGGGGTGGGGACTCCGGGGGCTTGGGTTGCCCAGCCCTGGTTCTTGGACCTGTCTGAGAGTGAAAAAGGTGGAGCAGTGAATGCAGACCCTAATATACGTGTAGAATATGGCAGCCCATTTGGTACTGCAGCAGAGGAAGGAGAACAGAGTAAAATGGACAACTATCCCAGCAAACTAGGACAGCAAAAATCTAGGTGAACAGAGACTTGAAGTCGACTATGCGAGCCAATGGACATTGAGACGGTTGCCCCTTGGATCAGCGAAATTGACAGCATTTCAGAACTATTCAAACTACTTGGTCAGAACCTTCAGAACATGCACTCAGTGGAACTCTGGGTTGATACTGGGTGGCAGCACCCTGTCCCTGGGTTATGGGACATTTGGGAGGCTAGGTGTAGCTTCCCCTTTTATCTCTCCCCTTTTCCCAGAGACAAGAAGATACAGAGAATTTGGAAACAATGATTTCACCCATTTTTCCCTAACTCTCTTCTCACCCTGTTCAACATTGCAATCACCATCAAAAATAAAAATTGAAAAAAAAAAAAACAAACCAGAAACTAAGAAAATTTTATTGAAAATCAAAAGCACGAAAAAAAAAATCAAGGAGATTTCCTGGGGAGGAGGGGTGGGGAGGCGGGCGGAATCTATACCCATTAAGAAAGGGAATATTAGGATTTTAACTATACCTCTACTGTTTTGTTGAATGAGTAAATGTTTTAATGAAAACATGGGAATGAATTGGTGGGTTTTAAGCTGGAGGTTAACATCATGTGGTTAATAGTCTGTGGGGCTACCCTCACTCCATGGTGGGAACTGACTCGAAAAGCAAAAAGAAGGGAAATGCTTGAAGCTTTTACAATAGGTAGCAAGCAGTGGAGAAAGAAAAGACATTCTACAAGAAAGAAAAAAAAATGGTTAAGATGGGGACTTAAAAGGTCAATATGTCATATATTGGCTGATTTTTCCAACAGCTCTTTAGCCTAAATCTTGCATTTCAAGTGAGTGATGGAATTACTGAGCTCTCCCAGATCCTTTCCAGTCTTCTCAGGGGAAGCACTGACAGTAGATGCTTCTAAAGCTTTGCAAGAGTTGAGAAATTAAGATTCTTCATAAAGCTTAATAGAGCTTCCCCAAATCACTGATTTAATGAATAAAAAATAGAAGTGACTGGATAATTTCCATCTGAAAATTTATTTGCAAACAGTCCCTCTTAAAAACATATAAAATGGGTTTAGCATTTGGAAAAAGCTTTAAAGGTGCTGGAAACTAATGTTCTCAGGCAATCACCATGTGTTTCTTTCAGATACATTCTCTTTCCCAAAGGCCTAATCAGGGTGTATAACCTTCTAAAGTTCCCAGACTTTGCCAGCTAGAGGCCATCCCAGATTTTCTTAAACATCTGTGAATTGTCAAGAAATACAGAGAGGGACTGAATAAAGACAGATCCTAGTCTTTCAGTCTTTCTTAGTCTCCCAAGCCACCATTTCTGAGACAGGAAAGCTTCTTGAGTAAATCAAGCAGTAAATGTTCCTGAAACAAACAAAACGCAACACACAAAAGTGACTTCATGGAAAAGCACAGTCCTTCGCAAACCCACACGTAACTGAGCTTTTCCAAAGACTTGGGGAACGCAGTTTTTCTCCAGTTGTTACCTGAAAAAAGGTCATTCTCTATGCGGTTTAAGGCCAGGGTGAAAGAAACAGCGAGTGAAATGAAAGCCAGATACAGTGTAATTTCTAGAGAGCTGAGAATGGATTACCTTGGTTTTTGAGAGAATGGGGGCTGCTCGGTCAAGCAGCATCTCCACCACCTGCTCGTGGCCGCTCCTCGCCCCACAGTGCAGTGGCGTCAGGCCATCCTGTGGAAGAAAGGCAACAGCTTACCTTAGGTTGCATGTAAAGTCTACAAATGCACATTTGCTCAGGACCCCGCACAGAAGCCTCCCTCCTCTGCCCCAATACTTCCAACATCTGTTCATTCATCTCATCAATGTCATATCTTAAAGTCGAGAACTAATTTCTTCATAAGTGAAAGCACTTGCATAGCATGTAACTTCTCATTTACTAGGAGTTTGATATGTATTACATAAATTTTTTATTGCTCTTTTGAATATCCAAGGGCATCTAAAACTGATAAGAAAGTTCTCCTTCATAGATGGAAGCTGAAATTAAAAAATAAATTTAAAAATGACTATCTGCTTTACTGAAAATCACAGTGTTTGTCAACCTTTGTTTTAAATATTTGTTAAATAGTTAAGAATGATCAACTAGTTTTGATGATCTGTGACTTTTAAAATATACCGTATGTAAGTGAAATATATATCTTCCCAATTGTTTGTTTGTAACCCTTGCCTATATTTCAGCTGAAGTATGACCCTTTTTATTTGTTGAGCTTTTGTTCCGTGAGGCACTAAGCTTTTGACTGCAATGTAAATTTAAAAAACATTACTTCCAAAATCAGAATGATAAAAAAGTAATTAAAATAGTAAGATGAGTAATGTAATGCCTGCCAGTTAAGAAACAAAAATAACTTTTTTTACTTGGGAATTTATACTCGGAGCTTTACTTTAGTCCTTTTCCTCTTACATTTCTATTTCCATTCCATTTTCCTTACATAATTTTATCTTAATATAATTTCATGCTTGAATGTTCTTTATTGCGACATCAAATTTCTCTGCCATGAAACTATAAATTTACATTTAAGAAAGGTTTAAAACTTGCCCGGGAACACGTTCTGTAAGTATTAAAAGTAAATCTGATTAGAATTACCATTATAATTATTCAAACACAATTCCCAAAACATCAGAAAGAGAGTAAAATTCTTTAGCTCTAACTCAAACAAAAATATATATTGTTAAATGACAAAAAGGGGCAGGTGCTGTGGCACAACAGGTTAAGCTGCCAACTAGGAGGCAGGCATCCCATACGAGCACTGGTTTGAGCCCTGGATGCTCCTCTTGTGAGTCAGCATCCTGCAAATATGCCTTGAAGAGGAGCAGAAGACAGCCCAAGGGCTGGTGAACCTGTTATCCCCGGAGGAGACCTGGATGCAGTTCTAGGTTCCTGGCTTTGGCTAGGACCAGGCCCAGCTGTTGTGGCCTTTTTGGAATGTGACCCAGCAGATGGAAGATCTCTAGCTCTGTATTTCAAGTCCACTAATTAATCTGTTTTTAAAGTCAGTAAATTTTTTGTTAAATAATTTAAAATTGCCTTGTTAATTAGATAAATATTTTGTCTCAACTTGGTTATGCATTTATTTCTATAAATTCCTACTGAATGCTACTGTGTGACTGCGACAGGCTTCAGCTTCAATACTACCCCTACTGTTTACTCTTATGTATGCCACTGCTGAGAAACCAGGTTTGTACAAGCTATTTTGTCATTGAAATATTATCAATTTCTAAGCTCCTTCTGAATTATTAAGATTTATTTATTTTAATGGGAAAGGTAGATTTATAGAGAGAAGGAGAGACAGAAAGATCTTCCATCCACTAGCTTACTCCCCAAGTGGCCACAACAGCCAGAGCAGAGTTGACCCTAAGTTAGGAGCCTGGAGATTCTTCTGTGACTCCCATGTGGATGCAGGTTTCCAAGGCCCTGGGCCATCCTCTACTGCCTTCCCAGGCCACAAGCAGGGAGCTGGAAGGGAAGTGGAACAGCTGGGATTTGAATCAGTGCCCATCTGGGATCCTGGTGCATGCAAGGTGAGGATTTAGCCACTAATCCATTGCTGATGGGCCCACTCCTCCTGAATTCTACGTCAAAATCATTCAAGCGTCTTTCAGCAAAATTCTATCACAGGATGGTTCCACTCTGTTGTTTTATTTTACTGTCTTTAGCAGCAATGGATTTATAACCATCTAATATGCAAAACAGATTTACATTAGTGTCATGGAGCTCCCAACACCAACCTTCAAGTCTCCCTCTCCAGACATCTCCAAAGATGTTTGGAGTTGCATCTTCTTTATTAGTGGAAAGGAGACTCAACGTGGGCTGAACAACTAGAGACTTATTACCTTAAACTATCTCAGTCAGCCCGTAATTGTTAGAGAAAATTTCACACCAACCCTGACTGAAGCATTCCCAACCTGAAGATGCCTAAAATGAATACTTGAAACATATTTAAACATTTAAAAAGTATACCAAGATTTGATTCCATGTTTAAATCACATTCTAGATTGTATAAGCAGTTCTTGAACTAAACCTAAGTATTCTAATGTTGCAACAATAAAGTATAAACCTTATTTCAAAACTGCTCATCAAATCCCAATAGTATTAAAAATCTTTAAAACATGAAATGTGAACTACAAACAGCACATGACCTGATTTGATTGTTCTTTGAGCATGTTTAAGTAGTCTGACCCGTTATGTGTTTTTGAAGCATTTGCTTTACAAACCAAACCAAAGTGGCCTTTCATGTGGAAACAGCATTTCTGCTAATAAGTAAAAACTGGGAATAGGTTAAAAAAATCAAGTACAAACTGTCCAAGAATACACAACCTGGAGGCTGGTGAAAAAGAAGTAACATCACATCTACTTCTGACTACAAAGAGGCACTTCACCGAAACTGCAGTATGATGATTATCTTTTATGAACAAAATGTCAAAACTAGTTCATTTTCTCCAAGTAGACTCTAGGAAGTCACAGATGACAGAGTATGTGTAGATATTTTCAAATTACAGTCAGAGCAAAAAAAATTATTTTAGCTTAACTTCTTTATCCTTGAAAATTATCTTGTTCAAGGAAAAATGCTGTACGTTCAATGTTAAATGTTTGGCTATCTAATGGCAAAATTTAACTCAACCATCTTCTCCTTTGAAGTATCTACAACTACAGCTTTTTTTTTTTAGAAAAAAAGATTTATCTATTTTTATTGGGAAGGTACATTAGAGTTAAGGAGAAGAGAGACAAAAAGCTCTTTTATCTGCTGGTTCATTCTGCAAATAGCTGCAAAGGCTGGAGCTGAGCTGAGCTGAAGCGGGGAGCCAGGGACCAGGAGCTTGTTCCAGGTACTCTATGTAGTGCAGGTTCCTAAGGCCCCAAGTCTTCCTCTACTGCTTTCCCAGGCCATTAGCAGAGAACTGGATGGGAAGTGGAGTAGCCAAGACACATACCGGTGCCTGAATGGGATCCCAGTGCTTGCAAATGAGGATTTAGCCATTGAGCCATTATGCTGGAGGCCCTGAAGTATACACAACTACATTTTATAAACATGTAGCTTTTGCTGCTATGATCTTTAAAAGCTTTTAATATGAGCCTGGCGCAGTAGCCTAGTGGCTAAAGTCCTCCATATGGGTACCAGTTTGTGTCCTGGTTGTTTCACTTCCCATCCAGCTCCCTGCTTGTGGCCTGGTTTGGGAAATCCATGGAGGATGGCCCAAAGCCTTTGGGACCCTGCACCTGTGTGGAAGACCAGGAAGAAGCTCCTGGCTCCTGGCTCCTGGCTTTGGATCAGCTCAACTCTGGCCATTGTGGCCTCTTGGGGAGTGAATCAGCAGATGGAAGAACTTCCTCTGTGTCTACTGTCTGTAAAATCCGACTCTCCCATAAAAATAAATAAATCTTTGAAAAAGCTTTTCTTCTGTAATATTTATTTGAGGGACAGAGAGAAAACAGAGCTCTAAATTATTGGTTCATTCTCCCAAATGCCTTACAATGACCACAGGCAGAGTCCAACCAAAAGTGACACAAACTCTAAATTTGAGTGAGGAATTCAAGTGTTTGAACCATGTATTATATTCCAGGATCTGCGTTAGACAGAAGCTTACTTACAGTCAGGGACTAGAGCGGAGAATAAAATCCACGCGTCTGCTGTGGGGCACGTGGGTACCCCACCTGACGTCATAACTGCTAGGCCAATCACCTGTTCTCGATAAGACCTTTTTAAGAGTGTTCATTTCAAATATATTTCAGACTATCGAAGATTGAAGAGTGTGGCAAACCTCTAGAGTGTGGCGAACTCAGCTTCAACTATTGTTTCTTGAAAGTCAGCCTGGTCAAGAATGAGTCATTTATATCCTGACCTTTTCTCCCTTCTTGTACTACTTGGATTGATACTCAGATATTATATCATTTCATCCCCACAATTACCCATATAAGAGATAATCCTCGTTTTTATAAAATGAAGATGGTAAGACTTAAGATGTGAAATTACTCAGAATCAGCCTAGTGGTATTACTGCTGATGACGTAATACAATCCAGAGATGATTTAGACAAAGCCCTTTGCTCAACTTCCAGCTATTCCTCGCCCTCCTTTAGCCACATTCTGAAGCAGGAGCTTCTGATTTCTGAGTTCATTAAAAGCATATGGGATCTGAAGACCCAGTACAGGGGACGTTTTTTGTTTTATCAATGGGAAGACTCAAATGCTACTGTTTTAGTCATGGGTATTCTTGGTTCCAGAGGAAGTCAACTATTCCCCAGGGTAAAGCTCATCAGTAGTGGCTGAGCCACCCAGAGCTACCTGCAGCACAGTTCTTTCAACCGGACTTTTCCTTACAGTATTTTTAACACTGATTCTTTGGCTCTTCTCCAAATTTGCTCTGGCACTTTTCAAAGGTGTAGGATTCTCCAAATAGCCAAAGCTCTGGCAGCAGAGTTGCCTCATAAGGAAGCTCTCTAGGATGTCACGATTGCCTGGCTTCACAGGCAAGGTCAGCTCAGCCCTTACGACATTCACAGGTCACTGGAAACCCAGGATTTGTAGAGAATGCAAGATCTTTAATTAGCAACCTGGTTTTGCAGTCATGAAGATCTAGTCAAATCCAGCTGATTCACAGTATGACCAGAAAGCATCTGCCACTGAACAAGTTACACTTAATTAAATTTAAATCCAAAAAAGAAAACAAGGGGAAATTT